CACTTAATCATTATCGACTTAGACGGCACTGTTCTAAACAGCGATTTTGCCACCCTCAACCAGAAAAATAAAAAAATCCTCCAAAAACTACAAGAAATGGGGAACAAAATAGTTATTGCCACCGGCCGAAATTATTTGTCGGCTTTGCCTTTTTATAGAGAAATTGGTTTAGATACTTTTTTGATTACCTACAATGGAGCCTATATTGACCATCCCTTAAAAAAACATAGCCCTATCATGGCGATTCTCCCTCTAGCTAACGAGACAGTTAAGAAAATATTAAATGAAAAGATTATTAAAGAAAATTTACTTAATGTTTTAATCGATTCGGCTGACAAGGAAACCATTTCAACAGGCGAGGATATTTACTACCACGAAATTTTTTTTAACGGCAATACTTATCATGCGACTAACGATGCTTTACAACATTTAGGAGACCGAGATTGCTTACAGTTAGTCCTTGAATTTAAAAATGATAAAGAGAAAATTGACTCCATTCGTTCGTTTTTGGGAGAAAATTATAAAGCCAGCGTGGACTATTATTCAGGAAAAAAATTAAAATCAGAAAAAGAAGGAGATAAAATTTTGGTGCCGGACCCCGAAAAAGTGATTTTTAAAATCCGCAGTTCAAAGGCTGATAAAGCCGAGGCAGTAGCGAAATTGGCTGCTTATTATAATATTGATAAATCACGGATTATTGCTTTTGGCAATGATGTTAATGATATAAAAATGATTGAAAATGTGGGGTGGGGTGTGGCTATGTCAAATGGAAATGACGATTTAAAGCCTTATGCTCGCAGCATTACTAAACTTGACAATCACCACGGGGGAGTAGCCGAATATTTAGTAAGATACTTTCAAATGAGTTCTCAAAATTAGGTTCGGCAAAGCAATACATTTGATGTTTTGTCTGTGGGTCTAATAATACAAAGAAGAATATACTAATAACCACAGACCACAAAAAGCCAATCATTACCGAGTTAATTACTTGGATAAATGGCAAAAAGAAATAATTAAGCCTAATTTAGTAGGTGATTTTCTTTTATTGAAAGGTTATAAATAACAATTCTTCGATAAACTTTTATAAACTAATATATGACAGAACTAATAATTATTAAAACTAATGAAAGCGAAAGAGTGCGAAATTTACTAAATAAGGAAAAAATTAATTATCAAGTTTTTTATGAAAAAGACCAAGAATTTTCCCAAGATGATAAATTACTCCAAGAATACCAAGAAGCCTGACAAGACCCGCAGAGATTAGCCGAAGCAAAACAATGAGAGCAAGCCGCCATGACTGATTGAGCGGAACGAGCCAAAAAAGATGAAAAATAATGGCTGAACGGATATTCAAAAGAGGGGAAATTTATTGAATTAATTTGCCCGATAAAGGCGGACAGGAATTAAAAGATTGACACATGGGTTTAATAATTTCTAATAATCGGCAAAATCTCGCCAGTCCGCTAATAATTATTCTCCCACTAACTTCTTTAAAAGAAGGAAGCAAGGTTTATTCCTTTGAGGTGGAAACTTTTATTAATAATCAGTCAGGCAAAATATTGGTTGACCAAATTACTACAACTGATAAAGTGAAAAGGATAGGAAAGTTTGTCGGTCAATTAGACGAAAAATTAATGTTAAAAGTAGAGCGGGCTATTTGTTATGTATTGGCTATTTCCACGGAGGCATTAGCGGAGGAGCTGAAAGAAAGGCAGAAAAAAATAATTGGATAACATGACAATTATCGCATTTATTTCTCAAAAGGGAGGTGTGGGAAAATCAACTTTAAGCCAAGCCCTAGCCACCGAAGCCTCCAAACAAAAATTAAAAACTCTACTGGCGGATTACGACCCCCAGCAAAAAATCAATTGAAGCGAGCGAAGGAGAAGTTAAGGGGCAAAACCATTATCAATTTCAATCTTACCTTTTTT